CTCAGTCTCTTAAATAGCACCGTCTCAGAGTGGATCAACCAGTTTTGTTGCTGGTTTTGGTTGTCAGCAGCAAAACTGGTTGATCCACTCTGAGACGGTGCTATTTAAGAGACTGAGCTGAATACAGCTCCTCAGACTGAGGAAGTCTCTCGGATGAGAGACGAAACGTTTCTACATTTTTTTGTTGATTTGCTTTGTTTTGTTTTTTTTGAATGTCCAGAGGACCAGATTTAACTTTTTTAGGTTTAGACGTTAAAGCTGATTCTGACTCTGGTTCACATAAAGAAAAGCCAGTTCACCCTCTGAGTGAGCTGCATTACTCTCCATCACCACTTCAAGCCTTAAAGAGGACTTTCAAACTGCAGACAGCACCTCGGCTTTCAATGTTAGTTTCTGACTGCTGATTAAAAGTGAGAAGCTTTTCTCATACATGACATTTGGTCCTTTGATTGAATAAATAAAGAATCTCGTTCTGCGGTTCAGTTGGGAGCAAACATGATTAACACGTAGTTCTGATGGGCGCAGGATGAAGAACAATCAGACGTTCCCGTCAGACTTCAATCTCCTTGAAGTGCTCTGAGGTGATGAGGTTTGATGATGTTATTTGCTGAAGTGGTTTTTAAATTTAGAAAATTGCTCAGTTCATGGCCGGTAATGGGAGGAGAATTTCCGAATAAATGTTTCTATTATATGCTTATATTCCATTAGTATTTACATTTTCTATTTAGTATTCCAAAGGCATATACAAAAACACCTCTTTGCTCCTTTTAAGGTTTGATTTTTTCTCTTAAATGGTGAATAAATTGTTTTACATACTGATTTTCTGAATATTCTCAGTACTTTATATTACACAATAACATGTACTTGTTAATACAGAGGTTTTCTTTATATTTTAGGGTATTTTTCTGTTGTAGACATGTAGATTAACACTCAAGGCATTTAAATTTGTCCAAACACAGTTTAGTTTTAAGTTTTGTGGGGATTAAATTGTTGGCTGATGACCAACTTTACCTCAGCTTGCTGTAATACTTTCCTGCATCCTGTGGCAATGAAGCCCACAAATCAGTCCTCTCAACTCTTAAACCTACTCATTTTAACAACAAGCTGCATATAAGTATATATAGCTAGTAAATTTTACTTACCAGGCTCTGCAGTACAGGAGCAGCTCGGTTCCTGTCCGACCCGATAGATGAAAAAAGTCCTGACACAGCATGATGCAGCTGCTCAGCAGTGAAGATGCAACTTGAAGGATGAGTTCAGCTTCAGGATTATTTGTGACTTTCCTGCCGGTCCTGTGAGATTATCCTTACAGAACTTCTGACTTTGCTGCAAAACGTTCCCTCCATTTGCAGCAAGCAGCAGTTGAAAGCAGTTGACTTCTGGAAAGTGAATTGATGGCTTCTGGGTCACGTAGTTCTTTAGACTGGCAAAACAGTGAAGGCTTAATGAAAGAAAACTACAAAATGGCTTTTTTTTTTGTTGAAAATGTTATGTACGTGTACAGTACTGTACAGTACTTAAACAAAACTGCGATAGGGCGAGTCTGTGAAAAACGAACTGGGAAGTAGCGAGGGACTACTGTACCTTTTTTCCCATCCAGTCATCACCAAATTTTTCACAGTGTGATTAGTGGGCTCAGGGTTTTTAATCTGCCTTTATGAAGCAAATTGTTTCCCACATGAACATAATAACTAGACATAATTTTTATTTCTTTTATCGATCACCCATTATTCAGTTTGCTGTATGAAACTGAGCTTGAACAAGGTCCCCCATTGTGTTCATGTCTGACTCTTGTCGGCGTGCAGTTCCTCTGAGACCCCTCCAGGCCGACGATGAGTCCTACAGCCCATTAATCCTCCCAGCAGGGCTTCAGCTGCTCCTTTCAGCTCACTTATCCTCACATTATAGACATGTTTGACATTCAACACAGAAATAAATTACAAACATTGACAGCAAAGAGCATAATCATTTTTAAAAACAATCTTCGCACATATCACTGCCCTCTTTGCAGGCAAACAGTTTTCACACTGACCTTCAAATCTGACCTTTTTAGGTGAGTTTAAAATAACATCAAAGCTACAAATTAAAATAAAAATGACAGTCTAACATGGCTGAGAATTAAAAAACAAAAAAACAAGCTCAGAATTGTTGATTTGTTTCTGTTTTTTTTCTCAAGTTTATTCAAAACATTAGTTATTAGTAGCAAAATAAATATTATAAACCATTTTTTTTCATATCCACTTGTAAATAACTGTTATGCCTCATTAACACTTTCCAACAATCGGCACTGTGTCATCAATTATTAGTCTTTATCTCAGTTTTTTTAATCTATCAGAATATCATGATGTAAATAACTCACAAAAATAAGATACTTTTTGATTGTTCATGGAATATATTGTTGCTTTATCAGTTTCTGTAAACATTCTCATACCTGCTTCATTTTTCATGAGGGCCCAAAAAGCTTATCTGCATCAATTCATGTCAAATTTATCTTAAAGAAACTGATTTATTAAAGTAAATGTTGACATTTTGAGGAAAACAAACAAACTAAATTCCTGCTTGGAGCAGAAACATCCCGACTGTTCTTGTTGACCCTGTTTCCATCCCTTCCTTCTGACTCGGACCATAACAGCTGTGTTTACATGTTCAAGTACAAGATGTCAGAGCTTCTGAAATGTCAGCCACCTCTTCCCTCCCTGAACGTCTGCGCTCCGCGGTGTTGGATATCCTCTGCTGCAGTGAAGCGGGGTGAATAAACCAGCCTCCACCCTCTGGACGTACTCTGATGTGACTGAAGTCACCTTCTCAGAACGAAGGAGGTGTCAACCTAAAAATACACCTCAGCTCCTACTGAGCACGTGCAGCACCACTCGTGGATGTGCACACCATAAATTAGTCAAGAACAGAGTTAGTGCTGAGTTACATAAACATTTACACGTCTGGGAGATTTTACTGCACTTTTATCCAAACTGTGATGAAAGCATGAGACTACAGAGTATCACATTATTAAAACGCATTAAGCAAACAGATTTATTTATTTATTTATGTATTTTTACAGCCTGCCGGACCTTGAATCTGAGCGAGATGAAAGGTAAGCTCCGCAGCCAAAAGTAAGCACGTGAATCGCCACGGTCGTGTATTTTTAGAGCTCATGAAAGAACAATAGAAACTGAGGCAAGCCTGGATTACTGAAGCTGCTCTGTACGCTGCAGTGTACTGGTGCTGATGAAAGGAGCGCTGCTTGACTTTTATACATAAAACTTTTGTAACTCAACATGTCAGTCACTGTTGTTCTGCACAGTCACATTAAGACCTTGCTGTTACGTTTGTGAGCTTTACTCACTGCTGATACCTCGGCTCTCTCTCCTACTGGACCAAAACATCTTAAAATGATAAAAATAACCCCTTTAATATGGCTAAACCAGACAGCTTGTGCATATAAAGCTAAGAACCACGTCTACTGTCACTTAAAGAGAAACATTTCCCTTCTCAGCCTATTTTTATAAATTCAGAGTAAAGTAGTGAAGGTCCGCTGTGGACTGAGGTTTAAAGGTTTATCAGAAAGGAGCTTAAAGGTACAGATGATGCGCTACCTCAAGAACTGACTGTTTGCAGAAGAGCAGCAGGTTTTGATTAACCTTTAGCTCTGTGAGCAGACAACACTAGGAAATGCACGCTCCAGCGAGAATAAAATAAAAAAATATCTGTTTTGTGACGACTTGATGTTTTCCTGAGCGCCCAGGAGAAATAAACAGGAAGAGCGGGGCACAATCAAAGAGAAACAAACATCACGTGAACCTCAGACCTGCTGCTGACGTACAACTCTCACATCCTCAGAGATCCAAGCACGTTGATTCTCATTTCCATATTTACAGACAAACACGGGGGGGTTGATACGTGGCTGTTATTTTTAGACAGGATAAGATGACTGTTAATGGTATGTGTATTAATGGAGAGCTGCAGCTGTCCAGTTTGTGTTTGGGCTGCTGATGCAGGGGAACATCGCTCGGTGTGTTTGTTTTTTTGTTAATCATTATAGAAATACGGGGAAGTCAATCATCTCCAGCCCATCTAATGTTTTAATTGTCTCTAATGTGTTTTTTTTTTTTTTTTTCTGCAGTCCCAGTCCCACGGACAGAGATGTAGCAGGTGACAGAGATGTCAGGTGAGCTCACCTGACCGCTCGTCTCCATGGAGACGCATCACCCTTAGTAGAAGAGATGAAAATCAGTGCTGAAGTTTATCTAGAAATCCAGCAGCCATTCCCACTACTCATATACTCCTGACCCCTGGCTACACTGACCTCCCAAACACATCACAGCCTCTAATTATCCTTGAACCAGTTGTCTGAGGACTGGAGATGTCAGGTTCTGACGGTGAGGAGTCCCTGCGGTCCAGAGATTAGACAACTCCTTAACCCATGTGTGAAGCAGAAAGACTCGTTAGGCAGTAACATATTATCCTGTTTGTCTGACAGCTCTGCATGTGTTGCACATCTCTGACAGGAGGAGAGGTCCCGTGGCCTACGCATCCCAGAAGCCCTGGCTGCTGAACGCCTCTGTGGTGGAGAACATCACCTTCGAGATGCCCATGATCAAATCAAGGCAAGACCTCAGAGCTGCTTCACACTAAGGCTACATTTGTACACATGTCATTGTTTAAATGTTGACTTAATCATAAACAAAATGTTTAAAAAAATCACAGGAAATCAAAGATTCACAAGTAGTTAATTCCACTTCTACAACCTGAGTTTGTTTAAAATAAGAATGTGACTCTAATTTAGAGCACTGCAGGTCATTAGAAACAAAACTCAGTTTAAAACCAGAGCCTATTGTTTGAAAGATCTCGGTGAATTATGAGGCAATTTTATCCTCCTGCTCTTTCTTTGTTTTGCAACTTTTTTGTTGACACCTGCAGCAACAATCATCACTTTAAAAATGACGTGCTGAGGTATACCATACTATACCACACCACTTTATTTATAAAGCACTTCAAACAGCAACAAGGCCAACCAAAGTGCTGCACACCAGAAACAAACAAGCAAAGCACACAATAAAAAATACATAGATCTGAATGGAAAAAGATAACTAAATGGCTAATACTGTAGAATACAGACAGGTTAAGAACAAATCACACTGTCAAAAGCCAGAGAATAAAAGTGAGTTTTTAAGAGAGGCTTAAAAACAGTGAGAGAGGGAGTCTGCCTGACATGCGGTGGTAACTCATTCCACAGTCTTGGACCTGCAACAGAGAAGGCCCTGTCATCTCTGAGCTTAAAAGGAGTTCCTGGAACCAATAGAAGCATCTTGTCTGCTGACCTCAGAGAGCTGTGGGACATATGGCTGCAGCAGATCCGCGAGATAGGAGGGGGAAGAACTGTTCAGAGATTTAAAAACATACAGAAGGATTTTAAATGAATTCAAAAGTGAACAGGGAGCCAGTGCAGGGAGGCCAGAACTGGAGTAATGTGCTCTCTGTTGCCTGTACCAGTTAAAAATCAGGCTGCAGCATTTTGACCCAGTTGTACCCGTGCAATGGAGGTCTGACTGATTCCAAACAGAAACACAGATTATCTAAGAAGCATCTTCTTCATTTGTGGGGGCTGAGATGGGGTAGAGGTATGGCAGCCAACTTGGGGACCAGAAAGTTGAGGTTCGACTCCCAGCCACATGTCCTGGTGTCTCTGAGCAAGACACCCAACCCCAAACTGCTCCCCGGGTGCTTACATAGCTGCCCACTGCTCCACCTGGGTGTATTTCACGTGTGATGGTTAAATGCAGAGAACTAATGTCACTATTGTATGGGAACATACAGTGATGATAATCTCAGACTTCCCTTCCTTCCAAGACGTATAGATCAATTAACTATAGGTGTTTATCATAACCTTTTTGCTGCCAAGCTAATAATGTAGCTGCTGTTGTCCTTGCTGCCACAACTGATCAGCTTCAAAAACACATTTAATTTTCCATATTAATTCTGTTCCTTTAACACACACTGTGCTCAGCTGTTTGCTCACCTGCACAAAACAATATTAATATGAAACACCAAAGCACTTGCTCGTGCTTTTTGTGCTCACAACAATTCGCTCGTGTTTTGCTTTTGTGGAAACAGAAAGGTTCTCCGCAGGTCTAATGGACTGTTTTCCGTTCGCTCTTTTGTTGTTTGTAAAATCCTAATGGGTCCGTGTGCTTTGTTGCCGTGGATGTGTTCTGTTAAACAAAGTCTCTCTGGCTGCTCCATCTTGTTTGGTTTAACTGGTTGAATCCAGAGCGTGGTCTGGACTCTGCAGCAGCCCTTTCTACGTGTTTATCTGCCTTCTGTTGATCAGAAACATACACAGATGTTTCCAAAGATGCTCTGGAGCATTTACTTTACACTTTTTCCTGCATTTGCAAATATTTGCAAAAACCATCAACAATTCCTTCATACTCGGTGGATCATCACTGCAACAGCACAGACACATTTTGGAACTTGGTTTCAAACTTACAACTTCCTGTGGCGGATTTAGAACAGACTTTCCTCCAAGTTCTGCAACAGATGTTTCTGCTTCCGAAATCAGAGACAAAGCTGTGAACTTACGATCATGCGCAGTGATTTTTTAAATGCTCTAAAGATTCAGACTTCCTAGGGTTTGTAAGCATTTTGGTTTTCTGGGTCACGACCCCAAAGCTCCAGCAGCTGCAGAGCTTTTTGCAACAATACTCAAAGTAATTTGAAAGCATATGCAGTTTGCTCTAAATGTATGGTGTCGAAATAGCTTTTTAAATTCAAATTGCACAAACAAATAACTAAGAATGTGGACATTTGTCCTTGTGTGTTTTTCTGCATCCTTCCTGTCTGATGTAGAAAGGAGATAATCAACATTATTCTGTAAAATCTCTAACAGCGGCTGATTATTTTCACATGCTACCACTTCAGCTTTGCTCTCCTCTCAGGATTTTATGGCTTGTTTTGTGCATGAATAACAGCAGATGATTTGTAAAATCATTGAAATGACTGCGCCGTCCTGATTACCGGTCATCAAGGGAACAACGAGCAGAGCTTTTGTTATTGTCAGCTGATCTCTGTCCTCATTTGTATTCTGTCTTTGTGTCTGGCAGATATAAGGCAGTCATCGAGGCCTGCTCCCTTCAACCTGACATCGACATCCTTCCTCAGGGGGACCAGACAGAGATCGGGGAGCGGGTCAGTACTACATCACCATTCGTAGTATTTAGATTCCTCCTTCTTCGTCGTGTCTGCCTGTTGCTCCCATCCTGACGTGCCACATTTCAGCCTCATTTGTCATTGCTGAGCAGCGGAGAGGATATAATGTTTCTGTGAGCAGGGGGCTCACCTTGTTTAGTCAAAGCTCTGCCTTGTTGGATTTTTTTCATGCACAACTAATGAAGGCAATGACCTCATTGTCACCTTTGTTTCTCAGGGGGCCACACATACATAGTTTCCCCAAATGTAGTTCCTTTACACGTTTTGTCATCTTCTCATGCAGGGAATCATCTTATCAGGGGGGCAGAAACAACGAATCAGTGTGGCCAGAGCTCTGTACCAGCAGACCCACGTGGTGTTTCTGGTGAGTCCGACGTCAAACTGATCAGATTTCATCAAGGAAGTCATTTGGGTGTTTTAGGCGGCATGTTTGAACCAGAGACTCAGATGTGAATCTATTTTGAAACTGTCCTGCATGCCAAAAATAGCTGCATGCTTCCTAATCTCAAAGCTGAAGGCTTTGAGATGTCAGATCCTGATGGGTTTTAAATCTGCCTCTCAGTAATTATAGTTAGGAAATGGTTTCAAATAGAGATTCACTTTATGTTTAGCTTGTTTTTGTTCTGTTGTTATATGAAATGTCTGTCATGACTTTTAGTTACAGACAAAATGTGTATTAGTTAAAAAAAAAACACTTTTAATTTTTAACAAAGTGGGACAATCTGGTTGTTTTTAATGGGTCAGTACATTCCATTTGAGGCAAGAGTGACCATCTTTACTTTAGACATGTCCTGATGGGAACGTTCTCTACATCGGGGTGTCCAAATGTTTTCATGTGGGCCAAAACTCTCCAGATGAAAGGACTCGTGGGCCAAAAAGTGTGAATTTAACTCTCAATGTGAACAATAATTTGTAGAAAGGACAAAAGTTTACTCATTTTGGTGGAGAAAGAGTTTAAATTGTTGTGGATCCAAAACATTAAAAGCCTCATAAACACTAAGCTTATATTGTTTTATTAAAAAGGATTTGATTTATTTGATTTGTTGGGTCTATTGTTGTTTTCTTGTGTTTGGAAAGTTCATATTAATCTGTTCTCGGCAACAAAAGTGTAATCTGAGTAAGTGTCCTTTGGGGTCGATCAATCTTTTGGACCTAGGGCGGCCCAAAAGGTTGATCGAAGTTCTGAAAAACCATGCAGGTGTCAGTCACTACAAAAGATTCATAGAACATTTGATAAAGTTGATCAACTCGTATGTAGATGATACCACATTATATCCATTAAAAATGTCCTATTTCCCTCTTGATTATTTATCAACTGCAATATTTAGACAAGTTTTATGAATCATTATCCAAAAGTCTCCTTTCTGGCAGAAATCAGTAAAGGTTTTTGATGCTTTGTAGCATGAAGTGAAAATAAAAAGATTATAGCCAAAGGTTTGTATTTTGCTTAATATTGCTCATTTTGAGAAGATTATTTTACATCCATTTTGCTGTTAAACCTAAATATTATATAAAAAGGATTACCAACTAATTTGCAGAAAGTCTGCTTTGACCTGTAAGCCTGCTGGACAAAATTATACCATTCTTAATCTGAAGTCGTGGGCCGCACAAAATCACTCCAAGGGCCACAAATGGCCCTCGAGCCACACTTTGGACACCCGTGCTCTAGAGAAATGTGCAGAAATGTTTTGCTCAAACATTTCTGCATGACAGATTTGTGTATTGATGCATGAAATGTTTGTGTTCTTGCACTTTTAAATCTGAGTGTATATATTTTTAGGACGACCCATTTTCTGCCTTAGACATCCACCTGAGTGATCATCTGATGCAGGACGGCATCCTGAAGATGCTGAGAGAAGAAAAAAGGACGGTCGTGTTGGTCACTCACAAACTACAGTATCTACCACATGCAGACTGGGTAAAACCATTGTGTGTGTGTGTGTGTGTGTGTGTGTGTGTGTGTGTGTGTGTGTGTGATGGCATCTTTAACAGAACAATAGATCAACTTGTGTAGCTAATTAATTAATCCCAATAAATCATGTTTGTGTATAAGACTGTTTATCTTGAAAATCTCTGAGAAGCACATAAAGCTTGACAATCTGTCTCAACTACATTTATTCTCTTTGCTTGTGTGTGTGTGTGTGTGTGTGTGTGTGATCGTTATCAGATTATTGCCATGAAAGATGGCACGATCCAGACTGAAGGGACTCTGAAGGACATCCAGAACTCTGAAGCCCAACTCTTTGAGCACTGGAAAACCCTGATGCACCGACAGGACCGCAAGTTTGAGACGGTGATTATTGATCGCAGAGTTTAAACATTAAAATGACTCGGAGCCAACATCTAATGAGAGCTGACCTCTCAGTCATTTGAAGAATACTGGATTCAGTTTTGCGGAGACAAACCAACAAGTTTATTGGACTGATTATAATTTTTTTTTTTTAAAAGAGACTGTGATCTTTTTTAAATTCTTCTTTCAGGAGACGGTGGCAGCCAGTATGACGGACATGGAGAGGAAAAACCTTCGAAGGGCTATGTACTCCAGAGATGCGGTGAAGACAGAAGATGACGACGAAGGTGAGAGGAGACAGGAGACCAGCTGGACTAAATATATGCATGACTGCAGCAGCGTCTCTGATTTCAGCCTGGGTGTTACATGCAGGCTGTCTTTTCCCCTCACCTGCTGTGTTTGCTGAAAAGAAGCATCTGTTACATTAATGTTCAAGCTTATTAAGCTTAATTTAATCTTTAAGTCCCATTTCACGTATGCAGTAGCATCAGATCCCATGTTTAGCTCCTTTTTGTCAGTGAATGCAACCATTTTTGGGGTGTCATTTCTTTGTTTTTTCCTCAGTTATCAGATATGTCACCGTGCTCACAGCCTCCTGCTGTGGTTTAACACTGGATCTGACCTTTTGGCTGTGCCTCTGCTGTTGAAAGTGCTGAGGTGCATTAGCTGTACTTTTTATCTGTGCTCTGTATTGTTTCTGCGTGCTGGTGGCACCCCGGGGTGGACTTGTGCGATGGCTCCAGCAGCAAGTTTTGCCCTTGTGTTCGATCGAGCAGGTGTGGCCAGAAAGCATGGTTTGGGAAAACAAATGAATCAATCAAAGCCAGAACTATATGTTTGTGGAGTTGTGATGCTTCTAGCAAATAGCAGTTGTGCCAGTTCTTTTCATTGTTTAAACACCTCATCATTTACTGTATGTGGTCTTTTGTTCCCCTCCCCTCGTTTATTTTACTGCTGCTTCTGAAAGCATAACTAATTTGAGCATGTCTGTAGATGGTTGTTGCTCCTTGAGTTGTAGTAGTTCTTTAGTCTTTAGAGTCCCTTTGCTTTTCCTGCTATAGTTTTCTGCTTCCTCTCTGCCCCCAGCATGTCTGAGCCTCTTTAGACGCCCACATGCAGACTCACGCTCCAGAGCTTGCTGCATGATGTGGTGTATGATATTGACGGTGCATAAAGGGTGGAGAGGAGGTGGGAGATCATTCCCATGAACTCCTCACTAAAATGAGCATCTGCTTAGAGTGTCTATTAGAGATTCTGTAGTTTGTAGCTTGCTTTCACTTTGGGCTTTTCTCCATTTGTTTTGGTCCCTGTCTTGGTTTCTCTTCTAGTTGTAGCAGTTTGTCAGTCACAAAAGCAGGAGGTGTAACTCCTCATCTCTGTTTTACCTCATCTGTGTGTTGATCCCAGAGGAGTCTGTGGATAGTGACGATGAGGACAACCTGTCTCAGGTGATGCGTCAGCGAGCCACCATCCCCTGGCGTTCCTGTGGTACCTACCTGTCCTCCGCCGGCGTCCTCCTGCTCAGCCTGCTCCTCCTCTCACAGCTCCTCAAACACTCCCTCATGGTCGCTATCGACTACTGGCTGGCACACTGGACGTCGCACGTCATCGCTGCCAAGATAGAAGCCCATGCTCACAACTGTACCATCGTACAGGTAAGCAGCTGAACTGTTGTCAACCCAGGTCGAGTGGTTTTCAAATACCCACAGCAGTGCACGCTGTGCTGCATCACTGGTTGGCAAAAGACTTCAATGCTGTGTTGAAGTAGACAGTATGTATGGATAATTTAGCAAAAGAATGAAAACTGCCTAAATACAGGCAAGCTGCTGCACACGTGCACAGGTTTGTGACAACTCAGGTGATTTTTTTTTTCTGTTTTCTTAAAGAAAAAGAAGAAAAAACTAAGTTGGCAGAGAACAATTCAGCACATAGACATATTACTGCACATGTAGCCTGCATTTAGTTGCAGAAATATTTGTGTGAATGTTTATGAATCATTCACACTATTGTGATCCTTTTTTTTCCCGTATGCTTTTTGGCATCTTTCTCATTCCACATTTTTGTGCTATATCAACAAATCATAAATCAAAACTTTCAGCTCTTTCAGGAACTTTTACTGCTCCTTTCACATTTTGTTCTGGTTCAGCTTCTTTCAGCTTCCTTGTGCAAATTTAAACTGTTTTTCAGCTACTTTCAGCTGTTTTGTGCTCCTTTCAGATTATTTCTGTTAACCGCAACATTTTTATACTTTTAACTTCTTCCTGCTAATTTCAGCTTGTTATGATCCTTTCAGCTTATTTCTGCAAGTTTCAGCCTTTTCTGCTACTTCAGCTACTATTTAGCTATTAATATGCTAATTATAGCCTTTTCAGCTAATTCCGCATTTTTTTGCACTCATTTCTGCATCTTTATGCCTAATTGGGTACAACTGTGCTCTTTCTACTTCCTTCTGGTAATATAAGATTTTTTCAGCTTTTTAGCTACTTTTTATCTGTTTTTTTGTTGTCGTTGTTGCTAATTTCAGATTTTTTTCATAGAATTTCTATTTTTTATGCTTTTTTCTGCTTATTTTCAGCCTAATTGGGCAAACTTTATTTCCTTCTGCTTTCTTCTATTAGTATGAGCTTGTTCTACCTTTTCAGCTAGCTTTTTGACTCATTTTAGCTTTCAGATAAATCAAGATTTTTGTGGTAACTTCTGCTACTTTCTGCCAAATTAATTTTTTTAAATTTATTTATTTATTTTGTTATTTTAACTTGTTATACGCCTTTCAGCTAATTTTGACTAATTTCTGTTATTTCAGCTACTATTTAACTATTTAATACTTTTTTAAAGCTTTTTCAGCTAATTCCACGTGTTTTTAAGCTCATTTAAGCTCTTTCTGCTTCCTTCTGGTAGTTTAAGCTTCTTTCTGTCTTTCTGGCTTTTCAGCTACTTTTCAGTTTTTTTGTTGCTAATTTCACCTTTTTTGTTTAATTTCCTAATTTTATGCTCATTTCTGCTTATTTAAACCTAATTCAGCAAACGTGTGTTCATGCCTTAGGCTTGTTCTTCCTTTTCATCTAAACTTCAGCAAGTCTTTTTAGCTAATTTCAGCAGTTTTCAACAAGCTCTTCAGCAATAAGCATTCACACTGCATTTTCAAAGAAAATGCAATTTCCATGTATCTAGTTACATTTGTTATGTCTGTTTGATTTAAGTGTTAACTTGAGGAGTTAGCTCTACTCTGCATCAGTTGGTATATGTGTCAATCGAACTTGCACCCGCCTCCCACCTCACCTGTACAGGAGCGTTTCGAGAGCGTCAGAATCAGCATCTTCATCAGTAAAAACTACTTTCTACAGATAAATCTACTGTCACCCAGTATTACAGCTGCAAAGGGCACTAATGACAGATCCCTCCTCATGCAGGCTCACTCACAGTTAACGAGGCTCAGACATCCTGTGCTGGAATCCCCCAAGTTTTCACAACCGAGTGATTTAACTCACAAAATATAGTACCTCCTTCACATGCTTGGATTAATTTTTATTTTTGTAACTGACGATTTGTGTGCTTTTAACGACTCTTCTGTGTAAATATAGTTTGTAAATGTTTGGACAGTAAATATTTGTCCATTGCTGACATAGTGTTCCCAAAATTTATTTAGCAATATATCACTTCAAATATTTACTTTATCACAAAGCAATGCAGTCAAAACATGATATAATGTATGCTTTTATTTATTTGTAAGCATTTTGTTCTGCACCTGCATAATTTATACTTTTGCTATTTCATGTCTGCTTTCTGCCAACAAGCATACTGGGCATAAATCTGCAATCAAAACAAAACTATTCAGTGGGTCTGTTGTCATTTATCCATATCAAACAATTAAATGAATGAAATTGTGTCTTTCTCACGTTAGGAAAATGTACAAACTCATAAGTAAAACCAGAACAATTTAATAATAATAATAAGACTTTAACATTCAGAAACATGCTGTTGTGCTGACACCAGTTCACAAACTACTCAACAGTTCAGCTTAGTAAGATTTTCATCATCATTGCTGATGAGTCTCACTGTTTTATCATGAGGCAGCTTAATGTGCAGAATTTGGCCATGCAACCATGTCATCAGAATAAACAGTAGAGGACTGAGGACACATCCTTGAAGGACTCCTATGCACAGATTTATGGACCTTGACGTCCTACTGCCAGCACTTTTGATAAAATATATTTTTATGTTTCATTGTGAATTACAAACAATAGGTATGCTGTTTAGGTCTTTTTAAATTTCCAATCAAATTCCAAAATACAACTTTTGCTCATTGTGTGAATGTTCAAATGTTCTTATCATGCAGCTCACCTCCCATGAGCTCTGAAGACTTTCACACCTCTCAGTCAACGTCACCTCTACATATAGACATACATTAATCTCTGTATTAAAAGTTGTCAGGAGGTTAATGAGTCAACCCCTAAAACAAAAACACCATTTCTTATGGGATTATGTCACCACTATTTGATATTAGACTCAAAATAAAACACCTCTGTTCCTTATAATTTTTCATTGGGTGTGTTGATGGTAGAATTTCCTTTTAGGGAAATCATCACAAGTCCCTTTTTCCTGAAGTCTTCTCACTAATTCTCCCACGAATCACCGTTTGAAACATGAACTCCGGATGGATCATTCACCAACACACCCCGAAGCAGCAGCAGCATTGGCAGCTCGGATTTATCTGCATATCTGAGCAGCAGGCACACATTTATAGAAGAGTCCGTGCCATAAAATGAAGACAGAGAATAAAAGTGTGCTGCAGGTAACACAAAATGCAAAGGTGCAGTTGCTAAATGTGTCTAATTGTACAGTTGAAGTAATCTAAACTGCTGAAAATAGAAATAAACTCTGAAACTATAAATCATAGTGAACAACATGGCAACGTATGGCACGATGTAACCCGATTTATATTCCCTTGAACTATAAGCTTTTCATCGTTTTACACACACATGCAGGCAAAAAGGCATAAAATCACACATTCACTTTGTTTCAGCATAAATATTGTAAAGTTACAAAGATTATAGTCTACATTCAGTGTTCCCACCAGCTGTTGGCAGGTTATTATTATCTTTGAGTTTGTTCCATAAACTGAAATGCCAGGTCACATTTCACGCGGTCTCATGTGAAGACAGCAGAGTCAGCTGGGCATGAAGGCTGCAGTCTAAAAGGCACTGAAAAAACCGCACACACCCCTGCAGTCACACTATAGATATAAGGGCATAAACTGTCGCTTGAACGCTGAGCACTTCTTGTTTGGATGAGCTTCTGAGTCTCTGCCAAGTTTATCTAATCTGCACTGGGCTGCAGACTAATCCTCACACGGACACTCAGAGGTCCTGTTTGGCCACCGGACAAACTCTTGGTATAAACGTCAGCAGACGATTTAAAACTGTGTGTTCACCATAATTACACACAAACTGGATAGATGTATGGAGTTTCATGTTTTCAGGAAATATCTTTAGGCTGATGTTCCTCCTTTTGCACGTGAACAACTTAATGGCAGTAAACTGGTTGATCCACTATGAGAAGGTGCTTATACGAGTTGGTTGCAGCTCCTCAAACTGAAGAAGTCTTTTAGATAAAACGTTTCAACAAAGAAGAATACGTCCAAATGACCTGACTCCACCTTGTTAGATTTCATGACAGTCAGCACACCTGGACTTTTGGATTATTAGGTGGATCCGGGGATGATAAATGATGGATGAAATGCATGAAGTACCGTAAATGTTTTATTTAAACTTGGAAGTTTCTGTCTCAGCCAAATTCTTGCAATCGTTGGATTTAATTTACAGATCAAGGGTGATGTTGCATTATAATTAGAAATGCTTGAATTGTTGTCTTTTGAAGCATCTTGTATAGTTGTCTTTCAAAAAGCTTAGTCTTGAATTTCACTTCTTTCATTCTCGTTTAGTAATAAAATATAATGCAATACAATGTAACAAAAGGATCCTTGTTTGAAATTATTGACCCATGTTGAGAGTTATTTAAAAGCGCTATCATTAATCTTCACGGGTAAATTAAATGTTATCCCATAAAACTTTACTCGCTAATTCAACAGCTTATGTGGATCGATTTTTTTTTTTAAAGCTAAAAGCCAAATAGAACTTAGCTCTGCCTGAAGTCACAAATGGAACGAGTGAATTATTTATCAATTTGCTGCATGGTTTTATAACATTACAGAACACGACACAAAACACTAACAAGACGGAAAGCTTGAAGCAGACCTATATTTTACACAAACTGAGCCACAGCAGAACATTTCCATCATTTTGTTTTATTGTGTTTGTTCACCAGGTGCCAACTCAGCTTTAAGAGCTTCACAGGCTTTTACAGCATTCGGCTGCTATTTTTTTTTCACCCGCCTCAATGTTTAATTATGCTTATAATTACAGTACAAGCAAAGAAAGTGGCACCTCCGCAAACAGCTGCAGCAGTGATATCTGTCTGTCTGTGCTGCAGGACTGTGGCTTCAGCCACTCGTGGTATCTGTCCGTGTTCAGCATCCTGTGCTGCCTGGGCATCGTCCTGTGCCTCGCCACCTCTGTGACCGTGGAATGGACGGGCCTGAAAGTGGCTAAAGAACTTCACCACAACCTGCTCAACAAGATCATACTGGCCCCCATGAGGTAAGGTTTTATCAGGTGAAAACAGGAAGTGGGAGACCTGCCTGACAGATCGTTCATATAAAGAGGCGGAGGCGAAAGCGCCGTCTTTGAGCCTCATTACTCTGAGCCCAATCTGCTTCCCTCACACAAAACCAAACAGTCAGTACTTACCCTGAACACACAGATGAGTACAGCATCATAAAACCACACAGGAATAAACAGCTGGAGTTTACATAAGAGATCTCAACTAAAAAGACTGGCTGTAAAGTCTTATTCTCTCATAAATCTTTAAGGTTCAACAGTGAGCTGACAGAACTAAATCCAGAGAGTTTACTGCGTTTATCATCTTCAACAGTCTTAAATAGATCATTTGTTTCAGTATTTACATTTGATAATTAATCACACGTCCATAAAATGATTTGTTAGATGCAACTGAAGTATTTAGGAAATAATTAGCTGCAATAAACGGCCTAAAATTCATACGTGTTTGTGTTGTGAATGACTCTCAGCTATACCAGATCACATTTTAGCTCAATATCTGTGAGGTTGATTCAATCCAAGTCAGTTTATTTATCTAGCGCCAAGTCACAACAGAAGTTATCTCAGGCCACTGAACAGAAACATTCACATACATAAAAAAGCCACATCAGTAAAAGTTCTCTATAGCAGATTGTGCTGAATCGTTACTTCTTCACAGTCTTCCATCCTGAGCAAGCACAAAGGCAACAGTGGAAAGGAAAAACTCCCTTTTAACAGGAAGAAACTTAAAAGTTGGGTCCAAATGTGAGGAGCCTGATAACTGAAAGATCTTCCTCCCATTCTGCTCTTGGAAACTCTAGGAACCACAAGTAAACTGGCAGTCTGAGAGCAAAGTGCTCTGTTAGAAAAATATGGAACAATAAGAACTGTAATATAAAATGGAGCTAGGTTGTTGAGGGCTTTGTAGGTTAGAAGTAAGATTTTGAATTCAATTGTAGTTGGCTGAATTGTTGGCATGCTTGTGTTTTCTAAAGTCAGTTGGCTAAGGCAGCCATCTTGCATTTGACTGACTCTAAAAGTTAATCACCAGTAGTGGTACAAGATTCAACGATTAGTTCCTGAAAAGTTAAATAAAATCTCTCTGGTGGGTCATGAGATATTTTGTTAACAGACTGACTTTAACAGTCAATGCTAACATTTTAAAGCAAACATTTTGTGCGGTGAGTAGCACTTGGGGTAAATATTGTGGATGACTCTCAGCTACCGCCCCAGTTTTAGCTCAATATCTGTGAACTTGACGGAGTTATAGTCATATCTGTGACTTTAATTATACAGCTATACATATTAATGCATTATATCCGTTAAATGAAATAAACGACCACACTATCTTTATTTGTGGTGCCATTTTGTTTGTTTTTGTCTTCATTTTCTCTGAAATCAATGAAGTGAACTGTTTGTTTCACCTTGGTCCCCTCAGGCTGTTTGAGACGACTCCCCTCGGCAGCATCCTCAACAGGTTTTCCACGGACACGAACACGATCGACCAGCACATCCCCACCACCCTGGAGTGCCTCTCCCGCTCCACCCTGCTGTGTCTGTGCGCCCTGGGTGTCATCTCCTACGTGACGCCCGTGTTCCTCATTGCCCTCCTGCCGCTCGCTGTCGCCTGCTACTTCATACAGAAATACTTCAGGATGGCTTCCAGGTGAGTCGGTTGGGATGGAGGAACAAATATCTTTTTTTTTCTTTTCCAACTGATTTGAACTCTAATTAGATGTTCATGCTTATTTTGGTTGAACTCAACACTTCAGATTGTATATTACTGATGGGACGCTGTAAATAAGGTGTTTATCTTTCTGATGTACATCTCAGGCTTACTGGACTTTCTTTAGCTGATGATTTGTGTCCTCTGTTTGCTGCGCAGGGACCTGCAGCAGCTGGAGGACAGCACTCAGCTCCCTCTGCTCTCCCACTTCTCTGAGACGGTGGAAGGTCTCATCACCATACGAGCCCTCAGGTCATAATTTCTGCCCTCGCAGCTGTTCTCATAAACAACCTTCTAATGGGCGAATTTATATATATGGTTTTATGAAATAATTTTTCAGATTGAGCTTGAATTTGCAAGAACAATCTTTACTGTTTGGTTGAAAATTAGATCAGATTTAAATCAAATACCTGTTGTAAACAGATTTAATGACAATGACACATTCAGAGCAGAGCCAAGCCCAGAGTGGATTGCTGTTGTACATCTTCAATCAATTTTAAAATGGTGCAAGAAAATCCTGTTTTATAAACATTTACACATCTGTCAATTTTCCTTACACAATTAATCTGGTTTGAAAGTAGCTGACCTGGAAATTCCACAGCTAGATGCTGCTGCTGCTATTTTGCTCACAAATGTCCAAATAAATTCATGTATATGAGTCTTCCACAGAACTCACCGGAATGGAAAGGTTTGCTGAAGATGCATCATTCACTGTGAAAAATGCTGTGAATGCTGATCGACTGTTGAAATTAAAGAAACTGAGTTTAAAAAAAGCAGAGCACTAGCTTAAAGCAAAAGTAGCAAAACACTAGCTAAAAGCTAAAAGTAGCAGCTAAATGTTGCAAAATGTTAGCTAGAAACGAAAAGTTGAAAAAGGTTATACAGAAGCTAAAAGTAACGAATAACTAAAATAAAAAGTAATAAAAGTACAAGTATGTGGAAAAGTAATAAGACATGCTGAAAACCAAAATTAACAGAATATCTAAAATGTAAAAATTACAAAAGGCTACCTGAAATTAGCAAACGGCTATCTAAAAGTAGTAGTCTAAAGGTTACATGAAATTAGCAAGAGGCTACCTAAAATTAACAAAATGCTACCTAAAATTAGCAAAAAGGCTACTTCAAGTAAAAGACTACCTAAAAGTAGTAAAAGGCTACTTGAAATTAGCAAAAGGCTAGCTAAAAGCTAAAATCAGCAAGATAGATCAAAGTAGCAAAAGGCTAACTAGATTTTAAAACTAGCAAAAGACTAGCTTTCATAGCAAAACGTATAATGCAATATTAGCCAAAAGTAGCATAAGCCTAGTTAAAACAATAATAAAAGTAGCTAAATGGCAGCTGAAAATTAAAGCCTGGGCAGACAAGTCTGCTGAGGCACATTTTAAAGAGAACAATTATTTTGTAAGGATTTAAGAGATCTTAGTGTATGTGGATTGAGAAATATTTGGAGTTAAAGTTCAATATTTAAAAATGTATAAAAGTTACAAAACCCAGAATTTCTAGCCGTTATGTCTGGAATGAGCTGAACCTTTTAGAGATATGAATGGCTAAAAAAAAGCACAGAGCAGGTAGAAGTAATGAGATTGTAAATAAACATGAACAATTAAAAAACTTGAAAACTAACGAAGTGCTATGTGCAACAGGTAAGATAATAACTGTTCAAAACCTCTCCACAGAACCCCAGTTCAAATAATTTAAACGATCCTTGTAATCCATTGAAAATTGGAATCAAACTCAGCCTGAGAGTTTCTGCTTCATGATGACTTTTCTCGTTTTAAATCGTGACGGTGAATCAGTGCGAACAGAAAGTTTTAAGCGTTTGTGACGTTTTGAAATGAAACAAATCCTCTCGTTTGGCAGGTATGAGCCCCGGTTCAGACAGAGGTTGCTGCAGTTCACCGACGCCAACAACATCGCCTCGCTCTTCCTCACCGCCGCCAACCGTTGGCTGGAGGTCCGCATGGTAATGACCCATCTGCTGCTTGGATCTTTAAATTCTGATCAGTTCTGCTCCACTCAGCCTCTGGCTCAGCTCACTGGGATATTGCTGAGTAACTGCTCCCCCTGTTGGGTCACTGAAACACTGATGATCTGATTAACTTACAGAAAGTGTCGTCTTCCTGACATGGTGTACGAATCGCTCCCTCCTCCCTTAGATACTTTCCAACAGAAGGCCCAACAACGCGTGTCCTTCTCTCTGTCCTGTCTCCAGAATGATCTGTAATTATGAATCTGTTTCAGGGGGTTCCTGACTCTAACAAGTGTCCGTGTGTTTCTGCAGGAGTACATCGGAGCCTGTGTGGTGCTGGTGGCAGCTGTGGCCTCCATCACCAACTCTCTGTACAACCAGCTGTCCCCCGGTCTGGTGGGACTGGGACTCACCTACGCCCTCATGGTAAATCTGATATTTATCACCACAGTTTATCGTGCAACGTTGCTCTGTTTGATGCTGTTTGTTCTCTTGGTAATTCTGGTTTTGATTCTTTAAAGGAAATAATTTTTTTGAATGTTAAAGCACAAGAATCATTTTATAATCACGACAAATACATGTGGCCTGAGTTTAAATACAAGGGTCTCGGGGTGATTTTGACCCAAGGACAGCAGGAGGGTCAAATTAAATGTAGATTGTGCTTTTTTAATGCAGCAACTCAAACAAACAGAGTCTCCAGATGTACAGAATCATAAACTCTTATTCAAAATGTCCTTTAGAGCAAAACGTTGCATAGATTCAAGTTGAAGTGATCTTTTATAAACATGAATAATTGTTGGTGGGGTTTTTTTTTTCAGAGGAAACAATGGAGGGGAAAAGGGTAGTGTGTAAAAGTTAGGACACCTTGAAAGCACATTTATGTTTTAAAAAAAGTCAAGGTGATGCTAATTTTAAAGCTTTATAAACACTTCGACTCCTCCGACCTTGTCCTAACATTCAGTGGTCATGCAGCAGCACTTAATTAATAATAAACACTTGAAGCAGGAAGATGTTGGGAGCGTCTTCTACCGTTTAGAATATGAGGTGGAAATCACAGTTTATATAATTGGCTGAGGTCAAGTTGTTCAAAAACGGAAAACTTTTTAAAAAGTTCAATAAATCCTGCTTGACCACAGAAACATCCAAAGATATTTCACACTCACACTGCGAAAATGAAAATAAAATAAAAGCTAAAGAGAGAGAGAAAAAAATAAGCTTGAGGTGTTTTAAAAAACAAATCATACTGACTGATTAGGTAAAAAATATATATATACATACATATATATATATATATATACAGACTGAAATATCTTTTG